TTCTACTGCTTATGTTTGCATTATATTGAATTCCAATATGACATGGTCACTTTCACCCAAAGTTCCATAATTTCAACTCCCTCTATCACTTCTTCTCTATTAGTAAGAATTAAGTCCAGTATGGCTGTTCCTCTAGTTCCCTCTTCTATTTTTGGACAACAAAGTTGGCAGCTAGGTTGGTTAGGAACCTGTTCGATTTCTCACTCGATGCAGATTTAGTCTCCAGTTGATGTGAGCGTAATTAAAGTTCCCTATTACTATTGCAGTATGTTTCCTACATGAATTCTTTAATTTGTTAGCAAAAAGTATGTCTATTTTTTCTGTTTGGTTGGGTGGCCTCTAGTATATACCTATGACAATGCCATTCTTTTTTTTTCTTTTATATCAACCCATATGCATTCTAGTATCTCCTTTTGAATTAATTTCACTATTTTTAACCTCATTTGTAAAGGGGGTATGTGTGTGCTTGTGTGTGTGTGTGTTTGTGTGTCTTCTATACATTTAATATTCTTCTAGAAAATCTAGAATCAGTATAGCTTTACCTCTGCAAAAACTGGCTTTTTAAAATATTTCTGCTGTGAAGTCAGTGTACCAAAACCCACATTTAGTCATTTTAGGACTGGATACTTTTCAAAGCATTGTCTTTGCTGGTTAAGTTGCTGAAAATAAAACATTGCAACTCATCAGGTGACTGAAAGACAACTGTTCAACAATTGCACACTTATTTTCTTTTTCTGAAAAGACAATAACATACTGTTTCAAAATATTATGAATTTATTATGAATCCTATTATACATCCCACTTAGAAATTTATATTTATGTTTCCTAATTATTTGACTGAGGAGATTTCCCCAAATTCAGATGGAATTAAAACTGGAGGGTGGGTAGTCTAAGAAAGAAAAGGGGGATATTATTTTATTTGTTTTCTATATCTACACTGAATGTTGTTGTTTTTTTTAAAAAAACCAACAGTAATAATGATCAACAATAACTTCCGACCTTTTGGCTTCATGCTCTTGGCTTGTTAATCACATAATTCTGAGGAAATAAAGTGAAACTACCCAGAGAACTACTATAATCAGTTTCACCTTAGTATTAAATAAAGTCAAGGTAAGAATGAGCCAAACAATTGAAAGAGAGATAAGCAGAGGTGTTGTGTCCTACTAGGGAAACTTTACCCAGCCAATTCTGAAACAAATAAAAGGAACTCAGCTCTGTTATATTTAACAAGGCAATGTCAGCCATGTTGACTGTTTGTCCTGGAGACACACTAGAGAGTTATTTCAATCCTTTTTAAGTGCTAAGTACTGTAGCTGTAGGAGTTCCTCACCGGTAACTCATATCCAATTTTCATATGTAGCCTGCCAAACAGCAACTCCTTATAATTTTGGGCAAGTCTGGGTACAAAACAAGCCCATTCTGCAGCTTTTAAAGCAGAATAGCTGGCTTTTTCTTATTTTCTTTCTTTCTTCCACCAAAAGTAAGAAACAGCTGTCTATAGACAAGGATTTGAGCAGTAGCCATCTGCGCTATAACTCTGTTAGCCTCAAACCCTCATGAGAAATTTCATTCTTCTGGAAAATAAATTATAACACAGCTAAGTGGTGCCTGATAAAACTAAACAGAAGACCTGCTTCTCTATTTCAAATTTGCCCATATTCTCTTGGTAGACAGACAAATAAAAACACTTCATCAAAATCAGACAGAGAAACTCAGGAATGCTCACCAGAGACCACTAAACCTGAAATACCAATCAATTTTGCCAACTTTTTGTCACACTCATGAGTCTCCTTAAGCACTGTCTTCTGAAGCTGCCAGAAAGCAGCTGCTTGTTATGAGAGTTCAAGTTTTGTGGGAGACTCTTAACAATCCTACCTAAGAAAGCTGGTGAATCCCTATGTATTCTCTGTGCTTCTTTTGTTGAACTGCTTCAAGTCATTTTCGTTAGGATGTCTGCATGCACTGATTTCCTTTGAAAAATCTCTTCTGTCTTTCTGGGATTGACTTTCAAATTATTGATGACTGATTATAATTAGCTCAATAGTACATGTGAGAACAATACAGCCTCAAACTGACAGAACAGGCATTAAGATTACAAAGGCTGCATGCATATCCTTCCTAATTTTAAAATTAGAAGAAACATTGATTGTCATGGGCGTTCAGTTAGATTATTGTGCTGAGGATGGGTAAGCATTTCCTTAGAATACACCAGCCTAGTATTATCTTCCTTCATATACGATTTTTCCTACATTGAAAAGAAAGTCTTAAAAGTGTTTCTGCTCACATTCAGCTGAATATGAATAGAGACATTAGCATAATTGTGTCAGAGTTATGAATCCTATTTTATTAGGGATTCTATTTGAGAGCAACACAATCAATTTAGAAATTCCTGGGAAAAATTAATGATGGGAGTGGAAAGTTTCTAAAGCTGAGGAATTGGGGTGCATATTTACTTAGATCAACTATTCAATCAATGTATGATTCATTGTGCACTTAATTAAAAATAGTAAATAATAAACATTACATTCAATAAAACGTACTGTATCAGAGAGAACTACAAAGAAGCCGAAGCAATGGAAACTGTCAAGATGATCATTAAATCTTCTGAGCATTGTGTGGGAGAAAATCCTTGTTTTCAAAGCCTTTCAAAAGGCAGGCAGAATCAGGACTATCCAAATCTCAAAGGGGACACAATTCTACAGGGCAAACATGGTGACAGAGAAGACATATCTCCTCAGTCCTACCAAATTGCATGACTGAAGTGAAGGAACTCAGAGAGCCTGTCAGATCTTGTTGGATACAGAACATAACCTAGACTGGAGGTTCTGTAATAGATAACCAGAACCTGTACTACAAAAGGCTTTATAGGTAATGACCAGCACCATGAAATTCATTTTAAATCTGAATAGTAACCAGAGCAGCTTGCAAAGCAGCTAGTCTCTAGTTTCTAACTAGCTTATAGAAGCTTTGAGCCATCATCGTGTAGACCTGTTTTTGATGCTTTTTCATCATACTGGATTTTATAAAGGTGCTGTGGTACTGGTGATTTCACTGGAAGATAGGTTAGGAGGAATGGTTAGTAATGTGTACCTCTTTCTTCTAGGAGTATGATAAAATGAATTTCATATTACCATATGAAGTTTGAATATGCAGTACCATAGCAAACATTTATTTTAATCATTAAAGGATTATAACTTGGGTTATATTTCCTTCAGTTCTGTCCTCCTGGGATACTTGTGTACAATAGGATAATCTTTCTCATGTTTAATAATAATAATAATAAACCCTGGAAAAGGGATAATCTTTAACTGTGAGACAGTTTCATCACTATCTAATATAAACAAATACTGCTTATATTCCAAAGAGCTCTTTAGCAGAAATCCATAACCTTGAACCTTCATGGTCTTATAATTGGCAAAAATATGAGTGAGTAATAGTAGTTCAGAGCTTCTATAAGTTGTTAGGAACTTCCATGGGATGAAACTTTAGTACCTAATCGGACCTAATCAGAAAGGCATTACTTTTTTGTTGTTTTGGAACCAGTGTGCTGGGTATTATCTTTTTAGATTTCCCTGATTGGCAGAAGAAGCATAAGTGGTTTTTTTTTCAATGACTTATTGCAAGCTTGTATTTTTGAATATTCTTTACAAGGTAGACCTTGACATACAACCACAAATGAGCACAACATTTTTATTGCTAAGTGAAATACTTGTTACGGGAATGTTGTTCCATTTTATGACCTTTCTTGCCACAGTTTATTTATTTAGAAAATTTATATTTATATTTCTGCCTACTTGCACATGGCAGCTTAAGGTGACTTACAAGGTTGTTTAGTGAATCACTGCACTTATGATAAGTAAATAACATAGTTGTTAAGTGAATCCGGATTCCCCACATTGACATTGCTTGTGAGAAGATCGCAGAATGTGATCAAATGACCCTGGGACACTGAAACTGTCCTTAATATCCGTCAGTTGCCAAGTGCCCAAATTTTGATCATGTGACCATGAAAATGTTGTAATGGTTATAAGTGTGAAAAATGTTCATTAGTCACTTTTTTCAGTGCTGTGGTACTTTCACTCTGTCAATAAATGAACTGTTGTAAGTGAAGGATTGCCTGCATTTGCCTTGTATTGTATTCTTTTCTGCAATATTCATAAATGTTCTTGGCTGTCTCTTTTAATAAAACTTAAATACTACTAATATAGTTGTTGCTTCTGAGACGCATCGAACGAGATACATGGCTCTGGACACCGGAAGTACAAGATGCCGTGCACCTGAAGAAACGGCTCTACAAGGCCTTTCTTCAGGACAAGACCAGCGAGAAGCTCTGCGAGTACAAGGCGGCCAAAAAGGCAGCCAAGAAAGCAGTAGCGACAGCCAGAAGCTCCCACTACGACGACATCTACGAGAAGCTGAACACGCGAGAAGGCGAGAATGAGATCTACCGCCTAGCCAAAAGCAGACACAGGAAGACCCTGGACATTGACCAGTTTCATGGGATCAACGACGAAAGGGGAAATTTGATCGTCAACCCCAGAAGACGCTGCCGAGAGGTGGCGGCAATACTTCGAGAAGATCTCCACCGAGGAGTTCCCACACCCACGAACCCCGTGAGGTGACCCCGTCGAAGGCCCAGTCTCAGGCATTCACGCCAGCGAGGTCACCGACGCCATCAAGGCCATGAAAAACGGTAAGGCAACAGGACCAGACGACATCCCTGCCGACTTCTGGAAAAAGGCACTACCGGGCTCGGCATTGTGGCTGTGCGAGCTGTTCAACAACATCGTCTCCACGGGAATAGTGCCACACAACTGGTACCGCAGCACCACTGTTCCGATCTGGAAGGGAAAGGGCAGCCCAGCGGACTGCTCCAACTACAGACCGGTCAGGTTACTGTCACACACTATGAAGATCTTCGAACGCGTCCTCGATAAGCGCATTCGGGACATCATCGACATCAGCGTCAACCAGGCCGGATTCATCAAGAACTGCGGCACCACCGATGCCATCTTCGGTGTGCGGATGCTGATGGAGGCTCACAGAGAGAAGAAAATCCCGCTCCACACCGCCTTCTTGGACTTGGAAAAGGCCTTCGACCGAGTCCCGCACGATCTCATCTGGTACGCACTGCGAGATCACGGCGTGCCCGAGCTACTCGTACAATGGGTCCAACTCCTATACAGATGTCACAAAAGCCGTGTAAAAGCGGCAGCTGGGATATCAGAGGAGTTCAATATCACCGTCGGCGTACACCAGGGCTCTGCTCTCTCACCACTGCTGTTCATTCTGGTGATGGACACAATTACACACGACCTGCACACGCCCGCCCCATGGACGCTGCTCTACGCCGATGATGTGTTCCTGGCCAACCTGCGCAAGGCTGAACTCGAGCACCTAGTCCAACAGTGGCACGACCGCCTCGAGCAGTTCAGGCTCCGGTTGAACCTAAAGAAGTCCGAATACCTGACCACTGACAACGAAACGACAGGCTCCATCCACGTGAACGGGCAGGAGCTACCGCGCGCCTCCACCTTCAAGTACCTGGGAACTACTCTTGGGGAAGAAGGCCTACTACAAACTGAGGTGGCAGCCAGGATCAACGCAGCGTGGGGCAAATGGAAGTCCGTCACGGGCGTCCTCTGTGACAAGAAGATGCCGATGTGCCTGAAGGCGAAAATCTATAACTCTGTGGTGCGCCCCGTGGCCATATACGGCGCAGAGTGCTGGCCGACGACCAAAGAAGTCGAAAGCAGACTCCAGACAATGGAGATGCGAATGCTCCGATGGTCGGTAGGCCTCACCCTACTCGATCGCATCAGGAATGAAGAAGTGCGCAGACGGTTCAACGTCGTGCCCATCCCCACGGTCATGAGGCAGTCCCGGCTACGATGGTTCGGCCATGTGAGTCGCGCCAAGGAAGAATCCATCATCAAATCTGCGATGAAGGTGATTGTTGGAGGAGCGAGACCGCGTGGTAGACCTAAGCAACGCTGGATGGACACGATCAAGGCCGATCTAGAGATCGCGAAGGCAGACCCGACATACGTGGCAGATAGAGAGGCATGGAAGCAGTACTCAAGGACATTAACGGACCTCGCCAGAGCACGAGACAAACGCTGAAGAAAAAGAAGAAGAAGAAGAAGTTGTTGCTTCTGATACCCTGTGACCAAAGCTTGCTTGAGTGGGGACCAAGCAATGCAGGTGTCCCTTTCAGTCCTGTGCTTCTTGAAATCCTCTTCTATAGGTTTGTTCTCTAACTGACTTTTCCATGTCTGTTTGGATACTTTCTAAAGCATATCTTTATAAATGCTTTGCAATTTATATAATAATAATAATAATAATAATAATAATAATAATAATAATAATAATAATAATAATAATAATAATAAT